GTGGCAATTGCCTTTGCGTCTACATTGTAACACGAAGGCCACCTGTCCGGAATTGCCTAGGTGCAGGTGACCTTACTGTATTATTAGGTCTCGCACTACTGGTCGCGAGTCGTCGCGTCGCGTCGCAGCGAAGGGTCGTTGTGGCGTACGAATGTACTGTTGTTACCTTTCTTCTTTTCTCTTTAACAGGGTAAATGCTTGTTTCATCTCTTATTTGGACTTTACCTCTGCCCTGCATGACCTACTCCCATCTCTTCAATCTTACACTGTACCGGAAGATTTATGGTCAATCGAAACGTTTACTGATCCCAACTCAACTGAAATGGTTTGCCGAAAGTTTCTTCAGTCCTTGGACCAATGGAAGTTTCCTTCTGATTTGTCTTCAGACAACACTGTCGTACTGGAATATCGAATTCTGTTCAGTGATGCGTATCAAGTTCCTGTTTTATTTATTCGGTCACAAGACCGCGATGGTCGCGGCTTGTCCATGGAAAGCCTGATTTATTTTCTAAATCGAACTGAAGCTAATTTGCACCCAAATTTTAATGGATTGGTTCTCGGACTCAGCCCTGTTGAGCATGCTCATCTTGGCACTCCCTACTATCAGTTTCATCCATGCAGGACGGCCGAGCTGATGCAGGAGACTACAACGGAGCTCAGTCCATCTGATTTAGGGTATAACGTTCGATATCTAATCTTGTGGATGTCTCTGATCTGCTATCCTCTGGGACTACGTCTCCCAAACGAATTGCTTAGCTGATGTACGAAAATATTCCGGACATATCTGCGACCATCGCCATCCGCTTTACGAAGACACGCCACTGCGCCTTAGTATATGGTAGAGCATCATCCGTACACTTACTCGCGATCATGGCGATCGATAGACTGTCCCCAATTCTCTTCCTGAAGACATGTTTCGGATAATGTTCCATTTTTCTGTACCGGGTAGTGCTCACGATTTTACATACGTTGTCTATTGTATCTTGAATGCAGTTCTTTGAATTTTCGGCTGCGACTTTTTTGTCGCGACCAGGTGTCTTCAAGCTTACTGTTGTACTTCCCTGTCCGTATTTAGTTTCATTTTTGTATCCGTCCACTCGAGTAGTTATCCTAATATCAATCTGATGTGTTAGTGTCATCGTTGTTATCGGTAATGGTGACTTAGTCAGCAGTTTATAGACTTTACTGTTTGTGCCTATCTTTTCGTCATCAGTAATTACCTCTGTACTTGAGTTCAACCCGCTCGACGTCTTTATATAGTCTCTAACGCCTTTTTTCTTGACTGAGATAATTTGTCCCGCACCAGCTACACATAGAGAATATCCCATTTCTTCTGTGAATGTGCTTTGTATATACCGTTTTTTGTATATATATAATCTCAACTAGACAGCCAACAAAGCCATGGAGATTAACAGATAAGGAGAAATCACTGCGTCTTAATCATCGTGGCATAGTGGTTGAAGGTGAGTAACACACTTCATCTACTATGCCTCAGTAACGAAGGAACATTTTGACAAAAAGTAGTACAAAACATTTTACTTTGTTTTTCATATGCCGATTTTTATCCTTTTTGTCATTTTCTATGTTTAAAGTGTTAAACATGTGAATCAGCACAATAAGATACACAATTCTTTCGCCGATTCTGGTTGCGGGCCATGTCTTCAAGAGTGTTAAGCCGTTGGCACTCTTCATATTTGGCTCCCCATCATGAATAACGTACGGGTCCAACAGCGGATAGACACGACGTCAGCGATTTCATGTGCTGTCGCTAATTGGAGGGCTGACCACCACGCGGTCGCCTCCAGCCAGGTCCTTGCCGAGCAAATAGAGCGCGATGCGTGAGATTTTCCTCTACGGAGCAGTATACTGAAGATGCCACGGAAGGAAGTGGTGAAACGTTTGTCATTAAATTACTCAGCTTGGAGAACGAATCAAAAGTTTAAACGATTTACAAGCGCAGTAAACTGCTATGATGATGATGATGTCAGTTTTAACAAATTTAAGGTTGTGGGGAAATGATGATGCAACTTTGTAGTGATGTTTTCAGCAGCATACAGTGAGTAAAAATAGCTACGGGAAATATGCATGGTAGCACGTTCAAAATGGTCATTTATTGGAATGGATCAGGCCTGTGTTTCCATAGATCGTCAGTGTGATTGCTAGTTTTTCAGAATGCGTAGTAGAAGCGGTTCTCAAAAATTGGTTCCAAGAGGCGCAAAACTACATATTACATTTATGTTTAATGGTTTTTTGTTACGCGCGTATGCATATCTGTGACAGGTAGCAGTAGTAACCATCGCGTTTTGTAGAATAATTGGAAAGTAACAGTATAACAATCGTCTGGTAGAAGAGGATGAGTACTCGTTTGGCTTTCCTCATCGGCCTTGAGATAGGACGGCCGGTTAATGGAAGAATATAACAGGGGCTCAAGGGGTGCAAACGAGTACTCAGTTTACCTTCCGTCCTTGACTTACTTTTAGGCGTAATGGCCTCGAGGTCGGTGTGGCCGATTAACGGAAGGATATAACATTGCTCGGAAGTATGAAGAAGACCCGATTTGACGTCCTTCTTCAACCGCCATGTCAATATGGGGGACTTGAGGTTGGTATGGTCGGGTAAAAGGAGAATTGATGAAATTTGTAAGAGTGGGCATGGAAATTTGGTGTTTTCTTTTTTGGCTTCTGTGGCAATAGTGTAGCTTTTTAAAGTACGACCGAGAGGTGTTACGGATAAACACAGTCTATACCCGGTTTAACAAGCTGAAATAAGGCTACAGAAACTTCGGTTGATGGGACGAGCCCAGGATCCTCCTTAGATCTGATGGTCTCCATGACTAGCCATACCTTATCCATCCCCTCGATGCAACTCCTACGCGCCACGACCTCTTTCACGAACATTTAGAACTTTGCATCGTTGCAGGTGCCATTATTAATCTTTGAGGGAACTATGGTTTGGTTATTCATCATCACAATTAGCGTCACCATGCGGCTAATGATTGTAGGCATGATGACGTTTGCGCGCGTCTCTTTTCTGTAGCGGACCAGGGTCCGTTACAGATAGAGGTGTAACCCTCTCTTTTGACTTTGGCGAGAGACGCACTTGCAATGGCGCTTACAACGTGCATAATCCGGGTTACCTTATCTTAACCGCACTATGACTTGATATTCTCCAATTACCCTACTACTTGCAAAGCCTCCTCCCAGGAAACGGATTTTCGTAGGTGGTGTTGAGCTTAATACCAGCAGCATCAGAGCCATGTGGTTACTGAAGAGAGCGCCGAAATGGTAGTGCTGCAGGACCACGAATTGCGCCCTCAGTATGTTGATGAAACTGTTAGTCGATAGCGGGATAACCCATCGTAAACTGCTTGTCTCTAACTATGTTATTTTCTTCATTTCTAGTTAATTTCCTGATGTCCTGCGCACGAATACTGTGTCCAGTTAGATTTGAAAGACGTGCGGTTTGTCTTGAAAATCCTTCAATTCTATGTGAAATCGATTTATCTGATTGCGCCATCATTTTTCACGGAAGGTGACATGGAACACATGTAATTAAGTTGTTCTGACCATCACTCCTTAGTTACCCATTCGATACCTATGTCTTCTATACGTGGAAATGGCAGGTTTCGGTGACCCGATTTCTCAAGGTCTACAAGTTCTTGGATAGTCATCATTGACAGACTGACTAGCAATCGTGAAGTTCAGATACGTGAAGAGCAAGTCGGGTTTCGTCTAGATCAAGGCTGCATCGATCACATCCTCACTTTGCGTCAATTGTTGGAGCACTTTCACATATACCGACAGCCCACCGTAGTCCGGATCCTCAACATTAAAGCTGCCTTCGATTCGGTTGATCGATGTGCGCTTAGGGCTTGTCTACTAAGGAAAGGTGTGCCTGAGGAATATGTAAACATTATCCATGTGCTATACGCGCATAGCTCGAGCAGAGGGAGGGTTTGCGGCAAGTTGTCGCCGTCCTTCGATATCTTCAGCGGTGTAAGATAAGGATACCCGCCGTCACTTTTTCTCTTCAACTTCGCTACTGACGAAGTCATGGGGATCGCGTTCAATGGACACATTAGATGTGGAGCTGCTCCCAGGTGAATGGCTTCTTGACTTGGAGTATGGTGACGATACTTCGCTCCTCTGTGACAACTCACAAACCTGCCAGACTGCACTGGACAGATTAGCACTCGCTGTTGGCCGTTTCGGGCTATGATTTGCACTCGAGGTGCGAAGCTTACCTCCAAGATTGGCAGGGGCCGTTTCCTACGCTGACCATTGTTGGGGATCAGCTAGAAATCGTTCAAAAGTTTAACTAAGGGCAGTTGTATCGTTTCCCGTCTAATCGAAGACGCGGTCACAACTCGTATAACAAAACCTCGAGACTATTTTGCTAACCTTCTCCATCCATGGAACCGGCATGACATCACTCTTTCCCTGAAGGGTAGAGTTTACAATGCAGCCGTACGTTCGGCCATACTGTACAATTGTGAATCCTGGCCCATTAGATTGGCAGACGTAGAGGTTAGTTAAGTACGACCACTTGTGCTATCGCAGTTTGGCTCATATTTGGTGGGAACAATTTGTGAGCAATGAGCGTTTTCGACGCCTTGTTTATGGCACAGGAAGAAGAAATGAACCGCTCAGCACCGTTATTTCTTTCACTAGGCTCCGATGGCCTTGCCATGTCTTGTGCACGCCAACACATCGATTCCCGCAGTGTGATTTGTTTGCGCTCCGAGATGTGGATGGAAACAGGTGTGATCAAGCGATGACTTGGTCAAGGGGATTAAAGGCCCTTAGTTCCAAGTTGGCCTCGGTTATAGCCTCTCGGCTCCGTGCTTGGTCTCTGAAAGACGATTTTTGGATATACTTGCTGACATGGTTAGGAGCGGACCTCATTGACGTTTGTGTTGTGTGTTTCTTTGTCCCTCCCTATCCCGCTTAGCCTCCACCTCCAGTCGCGATCTCATTTCCTAACCTTATATGAATTTTGCATAATTTATGTGGCACAATAGCCGGCTGGTAGCTTTACGGAACGATGCCCATCTGTTACGGGTAACAGCTGGCGTGCATCTGTTGGATGTTTTTTTCTTTTCTTGTGTATTATAGCATAATAGCTATATGCTGTATACTGATGATGACACGCATTCCCAATCGCAATTACAGTTTGCTTCATATTTAACATTGGCTGCACCAGGAGCGAGAGGTTTTTCATATTTCCTGAATTTTTTGACCGAGCAATGTCCAAATTGTACCGTTTCTCGTCTATCTTCTATTCATCTTTGCGTGGTTCAAACCACAACGGGACTCACTGAAGACTTCTGCGAGCTCTTGCTCTGTCTTTGACGCATGTTTTTTGTCATGTGCGTGCGTGTTAATCCAAACCGTTGATTTATTTATCATCTATGAACTTATAATTTTTGAAACTTCTGTGGAAAGCTTTGCTTGTATCCCTTAATTCTCGGTTTCTCTCTGCTGGACATCGCTTTTCGCCCTATGTATAATTTTTTTTCGTTTTTTTTTAATATCCACTGCTCGATATCACGCACAGAGGTTGAGCTGCTTGGGTATTTTTTAGTGGTGAAGCTGGTGAATGGTTTATCATGATTTCAATTTTTTTTTACCATACTTCACTAACTAAAGAAATTACATTCCGTGCGACATAGAAAAGGAGCTATTCCACCGCTAATGGAACAATGAGATAAAGAAGTTCCGCAACATAGAAGAAACGTGGTAACAAAATGAGGAGTCCCGTGATAGATTCACCATAGTGTTTATACTAGGACGTACATAAAGGAGCCTACTTTACTTATCTTAGTGAATGCTAATGAGCGCAACATTTGACACACTATGTCTTTACCCCTATGTTCACGGTCCATATTTTATGACTCACGCTGCTTCAGGCGGCTTCAAGACTTTCTTTTAGCACGAATAATTTGAGGACAAAAGCAACGAATGATTGCCGGCAAAATTGAAGGATTTACCCCGTCTATGATATTTTGCGACAAGTCTGTTATTTTCGACCGTGAATAACGTCCCTACAATCGGTTTGTTGCGAATACTATGCTTGACCATACCTAGAATAAACACGCGTTTCTGAATATGTTTCTGAATATGTTTCGAAGCCTACCTGGACAATTCATGTTTTATTATAGTTATAGAGGAATTTCTATTATTTTAAGGTCCGTCCAAGCTGGACCCGATCAGACAGCCACCACACATCCAAAAAAACGTTGGATGGTCGTCTCATCCTAATGGGACTTTCCATTAGCACACCGCCTGATCCTGCTGGATGTGATCTCGTGGCCTTAATCTTACGAGTCAGCGGCTTAAGCCACTGCCAGTCATGTGTGACTGCAGCGAACCGCCATAACATTTCAAACTGCGTTGCAGTGCGGCTCTTCCTCCACTGTCGTGCAAAGAACAGAGCTGGCCCAGAGCTTACGGCTACTTTGGCAAACCGCCACCAATCGAAATGGCATATTGGTCTAATAGGGTGCTTACTGATTATTAGCGAGTAGTACTCTTACATGTTTACAGGCATACAGGTGCACCAGGTTTTGAAAATCGGAAAAGACAGCTTAGCTTTCTGTTCACTGTTCTTGCATTCCGAACGTCTTGCTGTACATTCATTTTGTAGATTGAAACACCTGTGTTACGCTGAACATGTTTACCTTGTCCAAATTCAACTCCCCTTTTCTGATTGCGATAGGCGATATTCAACGTCACATCGATTACTTTCGGAAGCGATGTTTTGTACAACACGCATTAGATTGAGTACCTCTTGCACCGAATTTCGTTTGTCAGCAAATAAACTGATATACTTCCAGTCGTTCATTGCTTTACTCGCTCTTTCATTTTGTTTGTATGCGCGGTATTCCCTCAGTACCGTATTGTGATCGTTTCCTTTTGATCATCATGGTTGCATCCTATCATTAGGTGTTCCATTCTTTAGGTTTCTTTTTCCACTTCTTTTTTGTCGTTGGTGGTGTCGTCTCTGAAGGCCAACCTACCGAGCAAGCCACCGGGAATTTCGCTCCATTGCGAAAGCCGTCATCATCATCACTACCAACAGAAGTACATCAGCCATTTGGACTGATGCTTCGCTGTCGTACAACCATGGTTACCTATGGAACGAAGAATAATACGAGAGAGGAAGGGGGATTTAGCGTAAAACCTTAATGCCCTAAACTAACATTCAGGGTCAAGCCGTCTGCACTTTGTCAACAACATACCATCACAAACATTTGGCTATCGTGCAACTAAAAGGCGGCATCGGCGAGACAGCTTCTTTAAGACTTTCACTGCGCAGCGTCATAATCAACCATTACCTCGCAGATAACTCAGCACCAAGCACACCACAGGCAGTCCAACTAGAAGACGACAACGGACATGCCACTGGTGCCGACAGCGAACCATGTCTTGTAACCTCTCTAGCCAAGCACAAGGCTGGTCACGTAGAACCCACTCTAGTAGGCGAAACGGATCGACGGCACCCAGTTTAGTGATCAGCGACTTCATTTCTCGCTGCCTAGTTAACTTTTGCTCGCTTCGAGCTTTGCGCCACCCTACATCTGGCAAACGAAACAAAACCATTCTTGCTAAGTGATGACTGGACTTACGCAGCACGCGACCACGCCAACGCAACTTATTCAGTGATATCAGTTCTAAGGAACTAGCATGATTATCACTGTTTAGCATTCGCCTACGCACATCGTTGCGGACATGATGGCAATGAGCACAATGTAACCAGACAGACTATTAGACGCGAATTAAAGCAATGCCTGCGTACTCACAAGGAAGTCTGGTGGACCAGTTGGGCTCAAAGAATGGGGGCGGCTGGAGCAGTAGGCAATTATCGCAGGCTCTTCCAACTGATCCGCACCACTGGTCCCAGAAAACCAGGCATCAGTGAGATAATCAGAGACAGCCCGGGTGCACTGATTCACTACAGGGAGTGTCATATGGCTCGTTTGGCTGAGCATTGTTGATATGAGTTCATTTGACTCCCTGCTCCTGAGCCTCTTCCTACTCAAGTGGTGCAGACTGAGCCATAACCGATTAATTTAGATGCTCCGTCAGCGACTGACGACCGAAACCCAATGGTAGCCCTCAATCGTTTTCGTGCTGCAGGACTGGATTCCCTCGTACCTGTATTATTTGATGATGAAGATGAGATCCTTTGCAAAGCCCTTACCTCTCTGTTCGAACAGGTCCGGAAGAAATAGACCATCCCAGCTGATTGGAGTGAATCATTTATGGTGACAGTATACAAGGGCATTCGCATAGACTATGTTAACCACAAGGTATTAGCCTAACATCGGTAGGGACAAAATTACCGGCCTTAATTCCCGTTCGTTGCCTTATTGCGTAACGGGAATCTTGGTTTAGAGAAACACAGGCAGGTTTCTGTTCAGGACGGGGTTATATGGACCGCATATTCACTCTGTGGAAGATGCTATAGCGGCATCACACGTGTTGCAGACCGACACTACCTGGTTCCTCGACTTCAAGAGTACGTTTGATTCAGTCGATCGATCTAGGTACTTGTGCGGAATGGTGTCCCCATGCAATACGTGAACATTTTACGTGCCATGTAATCGAACACCACAGGCCGCGTCAAGGTCTGAGGTGACCAGTCAGATGCCTTTCCGACAACAAGTGGCGTTCGCCAGTTTCCCCATTTTTGTTCAACTTCGTCATGGACTGCATCATGGAGAGTTGCCTTACGGAGCCTCACGATGCAGGCGTTGAGGTGCTGTCTGGTGAAAAGCTGGTTGATCTTTATTATGCGGACCATATTGTCTTCCTTTTTAGTGATGTTGGGTCGGCGCAATCAACCCCGATTAACCTCACTAGACTGGTCCCATTATTGTATGCGCTTCGCACCTTCAATGTACAGTGTGGCACCCGTCAGCAGACAACCCGTTTATCGATCAAAGAATGGATCTAAGTCTTGCGCTGTAGCAAATTGGATAATCTGTTTGCTCATCCACCCTCAGTTGTTTTTGTGCATGCAACACAAGTCGAATATAAGGCTCAATGGGTTCGAGCTGTATGCTGGGTTCTCTTTGAGTCACATTAGAGTTTATGTATATAGTGTCGGAAATATTCTGTAACCGACATTGCTTGGTTGTCTTTTGATCTGCGTCTATACTTTCGTGTTTTACTAGTCATCGTCATTTCGCTTTTCTGCTCCAAACTATCATCTTTCCACAAACGTTCCCAATTCGCGCTCTGGACTCCTCAGCCATCGCGTACCACGTTGTTTTGGCAACAGCCGTACAAATAAACTAAACCTTACTTCTTTCTGTGACTTTTTACAAACGTGCATACGAACGAGACTATTGTTTTGCAAGTTTCTCAACTGTTAACATAGTAACCAATCTGTGGCTGCTTTCTGCTCTTTTCGCGCCTATGTTCGTTGTTGCAGCATCGTCCACTGACAACTTCACTTGAGTGCCCTCGTGGACTATCTTTTATGAGTGGAATTAGTGATCGTACTTGATTACCATTTCCGCTTCACACTAGCTGATCCAGCTTATTGTTTGGCTAGTTCTGCTACACATTTATTTCGAATTTTTGATGCAGTCTTAAACAATGGATAAGCTGAACAGATCCAAGCTGAAGGATGCAAAGAAGTTATATCAAAGCGGTAACTATCATGCTTCTCATGAACTTATCCAGGTATTTGATCATTTTTTATCATCATCCATTGGAACACAGGAGATTCTCATTTCCGATCCCAAGAACTACAATGCAATCGTCTTAGACGGTGCTTGTTGTGACCGCTTGGACATGGAAGAAGTGGGCATGGACCTGTTCCATCTTGCCACCCAGATCCAGCCAGATAACTCCATGGCTTGGCAAGTATGTATTTCATTCTCTCCTTGGGCAATCGTACTTGAGTTCTCTTCTGATCTGCCTCTTCCGAATTGCAATATTCTCTATATGAGGCAGTAAAGTCTGCTACATGTGCATTGCATACCTTTATTTTAGGGTTTACTCCAACTGGGCCGGAAGAATATGGATCGATATTACGAGACCCTTGTGTGCACCTGTCTGAAACTGCTTCATTTTTATTCGGAGTGAGTGATCACTTTTGGGCTTCTTTATCGTTTACATGCTTCCTTATGCATCTCTCTAAGATGATCCTCTTCCTTTACATTGAGGAATGGATTGCTTTGGGATCCATTTTATCCTGCGGATATTTTGGTTGCTGACCAGAAGCACTACTTACTTTCAGTCATTTCTTGAGAACGATAAAACGGAAGGCCACTCTTTCACATTGTAGCTTCATAGCACCCTACATCTCACTGCTTATCCGTTTATCGGTTATCGTTGTACTATCATATCTGTAGCGCTTACTGGATCTTTCTTGCCGCCATCACAAACAAAAACAGCAGCACATCAGCCATTTGAACTGATGCTTCGCTGCCATACAACCATGATGACCAATGAAATAAAGAATAATAAGAGGGAGAGAACGGGACTTACCTTAAAACCTTAATGCCTTAAGCAAACATTCAGGGTCAAGGCGCCTACACCTTGTGTGGACAACATACCGTCACAAACAGCTGGCTATCGTGCAAACATAAGGCGGCATCGGCGAGACAGCTTCCTTGCGGCGTTCACTGCTCTACATCATAATCAACCATTACCCAGCAAATAACTTAGCACCAAACACACTTTAAACAGGCAATCCGACTAGGAGACGGCAGCAGACGCGCCACTGGTGTCGGTTGCGACTATCGCATACCACCAGTTCCTCCCCCACCAATCCTGCCCCTATCACGTGCGGTTATGAATCAGAGATTAATCAAACTATTGGAATATGTACTTCATTCAATCCAGTACGATCTGGAGCTCAGTGTGCCTCAGCTACCTCACAACACACAATTCTCAGATACAATGACGATGAAACAAACATTACCCACCACTTTCATTCCATGTTAACAATGTCTTTCAAAGCTGTCGTCATTATCATTCGTTCCCTTTTACCTAAATTAGATATACTTTCAACGCTTATGTTTATGAGATCCCCCGATATCGTTTTTATCACTGAAACTTGGTGCACATCAGAAATTAGTGATTCTCAGCTTAACATCCTAGGCTATAAGCTTTTCCGCAAGGATCGCTCACACAAACGTGGTGGTGGCTGTGCCATATATCTTCGAAATAACCTAACTGCCATTCCTGCAGATCAACCTGTGTTCATTGACTTAGAAGATACACTATGGCTAGTGATCCCATCTATTGATCTTCTAGTGGGTTGTATCTATCGGCTGCCCCGAACTACTCAATTTGCAACCCAAAAGCTAATCGATATGATCAATGTTGCTTCCAGCACCACATACAAATCCAAAATTATGTGTGGAGATTTCAACCTACCACATGTTAACTGGACGCTGTCTACACTCAGAAACACGGCGGAGATTGAGGAAATCATCTCATGTATCCACCTCAATGGCTGGACTCAGCATGTTAGAGAGCCAACTAGAAGTGCTACTACCTTAGACCTTGTATTCACGATGGGAATCGCGAACGCTTATACATTCATTGATAATCCACTGCCTGGCTGTGATCACAACACGGTGCTTTGTGATATAATTATTGATTTACCTAAACGACCAAGTAAAATGCTAAAACCCATTCGCAACCTCCATCGTGTGGACTGGAACGCATTTAATGAACTTATCAGTACCATGAATTGGAATACGTCATTCCTAACCCACAACCCTACCGTGGCTACAAATGAGTTTATAAACAACATTGCGCTTATTGTAGATCTACTAGCACCTACTGTAAGGAGAAATACCCATGAACATAGGGGTGAACTCAAGCTTCTTTCCAAAGCCAAAATCAAGCTAAAGTAACAAATCGCTGTATCGCAGGGCAACAGCATCGCAACATTGCTACAAATACACGAGAACTTACTATATTTACAACGTCTAACCCTAACGGTCAAAATCAAAGAAGCATGCCGGGTACTCAGAAATCCTGCGAAAGTACGTACATTGGTGCAACTACTCAAAAGAAGGAACCCTAAACCATTGCAGGAAATTGAGACGTTGGCTCTAGACGATGGTTCAATAACGCGCGACATCTCCTGTATATGCGAGGCCATGAACTCTAGTTTTGCCACCGGTTTTGTCCCCAACATTCAGCCACTTCATCCTCCACTTCCAAAAAGAACGACCGAACTCTACTGCAATATCCCTGTGACGTTAAGAGAGGTGCAAAGTGCCATCGCAGCCATAAAACTATCAACTCATCCAGGTCCAGATGGCATCTCCCCAACTGTTATAAAACTCGGAGGAAAAAACCTCGCACTATTGTTACTAAACATTTTCACACTTTCACTCACTACCGGCTGCTTTCCAGCTCAATGGAAGCAATCCATTATAATGCCTAAGCACAAGGGTGGACCGAGAAATCGAATGTCAAGCTACCGCCCAATAAATCACACCTCTGCTGCTTCCAAAGCCCTAGAGCGAATAGTCAAGAAGAACATTGTCCAATATCTTACAAGACTGGATCTGATCAACCCTTCACAGCACGGCTTTCTCTCAAAACGCTCCTGCGTTACATGCCAGCTACAATTTCTTGATCACATCACGACTCCAATTGACAGAGGAATGGCAATTATTATAATTCTGTTGGACATGCAAAAGACGTTCGACCGCATGCCACACCAGCGACTGCTGTCTGCTCTAGAGTCATATGGAATTGGAAATCCGCTGCTTAACTGGTTCGACTCTTACCTAAACGGTCGAACTCAGGTCGTTAAAATCGGTCAGCAACATTCTACACCGAAGCCAATAACCAGCGGTGTCTTCCAGGGAAGTGTGCTCGGACCACTACTTTTCTTAATCTATGTAAACAATATATGTGACCCGATCAAACATGGACATCCATTTCTGTTTGTAGATGATGTCAAACTGGTCTACTCATTTCATCCAGACCAACTACATACGTGTTTGGGAAACATCTGTGAAGACCTATCCGCACTAAATATAACCAGTGAGCGCTTATTAATGAAGTTCTCCGCAGTGAAATCCCAAGTACTTGGGTACAGATGCCGCATCCCAGAAGGCTCCATTATACTTGCCGGAAACGTTATCCCAACGTCTGATTCAGTTCGGGACTTAGGAGTTAGGTACTCAGACTCTTTCAATTTCTCCGAACATGTGCTTTATCAGGTTGCGAAAGCGAGGCAGTTATGCGGATATGTCACCAGAACTTTCTCCCTACCTGAAGTACGACTTGAATCATTCAAGACAATCGTACGACCGACTCTGGAATATTGTACTATCCTTCACAGCCAATTGAGAAAGAAAGACAGAACGGCTCTAGAAAATGTCCAACGATCATTTACCAAACTGCTCATGGGGCGCTGCTCAAACCTGACTTATTATGATCGCTGTCGAAAACTCCAGCTGGATCCACTTTGGCTGAGACGCTTAAAGAACAACCTCGTTCTCTTCTACAACATTATAAACCAGCGAATTTACGCAGACAGCACCGCACTTGAACTACAGAAGACTGCAGTCTACCCCACACGTAATGGCGGCTACTTGATACGTACAAACCTTTCAAGTCATAAAATTCGGTCGAATTTCTTCTTAGTGAGATACACTTATCTGTGGAACAAACTACCCCTACAGATACGCATGTGTACAAGTCATGTCACTTTTCGAAATCTCCTTCAGACCTTCCTCACTATACCAAATGCTCTGAAGATATTTGACACACAGCAAACACTAGAAACATTGACAGAAGTTGGTATAAAAAACATTTGATAATAGCTTACAGCTAGCTTACCGACTACGTGTCATTACATACCATACCAAATCCTGTGTCTTTGCAGCCTAATAGTCCCTTCGTTTATTATCTACTCCTGACGATACAAACATCCGTAAATTTTACATATGAGTTGCGCGGGTCTAGGACTCAAGGAAAAGTAATCATGATCCGAAATGCTATCAATAAACTTTTATTTAATGTTATGAAACGTGTTCACTATACAAATGATCGCTCCCACTTATGGGGCCGTGTACCGTCCGTCGGTAAATATACAGATTTAATTATTTATTTATGTTCTGTAAAGTCTCGAGCCAAGCACAAGGTGAGTTACGTGGACTCCAGCCCGGAAGGCGAGACGGACCAACGGCACCCAGTTTGCTCGTCAGTGACTTCATTTCCCGCTTGCAAGTCAACTTCTGTCCACCTCGAGCCTTGCGCCACCCTACACCTGGCAGACTAAACAAGGCCCTCCTAGGTATGCGGTGACAAGGCATACGTAGCACGTGCCTGAGCCAACACCACTGATTCAGTGCTATCTGTTGTTCTAGGGAGCTAGCATGATTAGCACTTCCTAGTACTCGCCTACGCACATCATCGCTGCGGACACGCTGGTGCCATCCGACTCTAGCAATGCTTCGCAGACAACGATGATCAAAGCCTTGAAGGCGCCTCATCTCTTCAGACCGAAGGGGCCAAGTCTCACTACCATAGAGCAGAACGGCCCTCATTGTGGCCTTGTATACACGGTCTTTTAGACGAAGGGAAACTCCATTCTGTCGCCAAAGATGCCGCAGATTCAAGAAGGTAGCTCTGGCCTTTGAATGCATGAGCTGACGTCAGTTTCTATGCGCTCATCATTGCTGATGCAGCTGCCAAGATAAGTGAATTGATCAACCACCTCGAGTTCCTCGTTAGTGAGGGTCGAGGTGTCATAAAGTGGCTGATGGTCCTTCAGCGACACTTTGCACTTTGAAGGTGCGAAGTGCATACCAAATAATGGGACCATTCTAGACGGGCTATTCAGGGTTGATTGTGCCGCCACAAAATCGTCGAAAAGCAACACGATATCGTCCGCATAATCCAGGTCAATCAACCATTCACCAGGCAGCACTTCGACGCCTACATCGTGAGATTCCGCAAGGGAGCACTCCATGATATAATCCACGACGAAATTGAACAAAAATGGGGAAATCGGACAACCCTGACGAACGCCACTTGTGGTCGGAAAGCTATCCGATAGGACACCGTAGACCCTGACGCGGCCTGTAGTTTTCGAGTATAGAGCACGAAGGATATTCACCTATTTCGTGTGGACACCTTTCCGCGCAAGTATTT